TAAAAGAGGGCTTGCGAACTTGTTTAATGAACTTCTTTTCATCTTGCTCATTATTCATGGTCATAAGCTTAAAATCCTGGTATTTATGAACATTCTCTATAGTTTTGCCATATACAGAATTGTTCATAAGCTTAAAGAAGTCACTCAGAAAGGTATTACCAGCTTTTTTAGCTTCATTTCGTTTCTCTGTATTAAATGAAATATAAGGTTCAAGCTAGTTACTTTGGTCAAATGATAGGATCTCTGAAACTTCATCAACAACTATTCCTAGCTTTACATAATATTAAAGCTCCTGGTAATGAATTACGTAGTCTTTTCGTGGCCCAAGGTGTGGAACTAATTTTTCTGTTTCTAAAAAGTGTCCACCATCTAGGTAACTACAAGCTTAGTAGTATAAGGACATAACCAATTCCTTTTTACTGCAATATTTTCTACAGCTGGTGGCAAATCACTTAAATAGTCATGAGTCTTTTTAGGAAAATGCACCTTAATATTTAAGTAATAACCCTGCTTGGCGCCTACTTTAGTCTTAAGAATTATATCAAGAAATTGTTTTTGCTTATCTGGATTTTTAAGTAAATATTTTCGACTTGCTAGCCATTCATATCCCCCAATAGGTAAGTACTGACTCATTGCTCAGCCATAAAGATTATTCGCATCAACATATGAAATCCATAATGTGGGCTTTGATGGTTGAATGTTTACCCATCTTAGGATTATTTGCTTTGAGATAGCGCTTACAAGCCATAGCTATCCCACCACGCTTAGCCTTTTTTATGAAATCATGCATAGCCATGTCTGTAAAGAGCCCAATCTTGACTCCTGTCATTTTAAGCATAGCATCCCATGCTAAAGCCGGTGCAGAGACATAATGACTAGGATCAAGTTTATAGTACTATATGCATGTCTTTCAGAATTGTGTCCAGATATCAGCAAGACAGAGCACATCAGTCTTAAGATAAAGGTCATAGTACTCACCTAAGTTTCTGCAGCCAAACTCTTTCCAGACTTTCTGTGCATAATCATAGTCTTTTTGAGAGATTTTACCATTAAGGCGCCCATGGAATTCATAAATAGGTGGAAGCTCTGTCTCTAAAAATCGATCATAAGAATCAATATACTCATAGGAGTATACTCTTTTGTGATATACTAGTGCTATTTGTTCTGGGGAATAGTCTCTATAGTGCTGGCTTGTGATTGGGTAGTTGGTGCCCAAATTTTTCATAAGATTAGCCAAGCTATTGTTCATAAACTGTTGGCTATCTATATACTTGAACTGACCTACTTTCATGGACTTATAGCGCTCAAATGTTTTAGCTATAACCTTGATTTGTTGTGCATTAACAGAACGCCCAACAGATTCACAGACTAGATGGGAATCATAACCTCGAAAGTTATGAAAGACAATAGGAATAGATGTCTTCCATGGTTCTATCTTAAGTTTGAGATTACAGATATTGTGGGCCACTCCTCTGAACTTACCTGTTATATGGCAGTGGTTCCAAACCTTATCAGCCTTAGCTTTTTTACTAGCAATTGCTTTAGTCATTTTATCAATAGTTGTTTGGATACTATTATATTCTAATGCTTCTAACTTTACTTTAAGACTAGTTATTTCTTTTTCTAATCGCTTGATTTCGTCTGTATTTATATTAAAATTATCTTTGCAAATCCAATAACAAACTGCTTCAGAAAATCTCTTTTTGTCTTCCTCGGTCTCAATTCGGTCTGCTTTGTAAGCTAAGACCCTATTTATATTAACCAATTCTTGATCAATCTGCCTAACAAATTCTTGTATGGCATTTTCTCCTCTGTATAGGAAAGGCCCCCATACATCACCAGTATCAATCCAGTGGACTAGATAACAAAAGCTATTGGCCTTTTGTTTCATAAGTTTGTGCATACTTCTTCCATATGCTTTATCACATTTTTTGTTATCAGCCTCAAAGTCAGCTATTATAACACATGGCGCATTGATCATTCGCCCATAGTTCTTGAACTTTTCAAAGTCATTGACGCCTTTTACTGACAAATTAACTCTTTGAGTAGCCTCTCCCAAACCAAAACAATGTTCTTGATGATAGGCTAAAGTATTTTCTGAGGACCAGCTTTGAAAGCATCGATTACAAAGATGCTTTTTACTATGATACTTTGTATCTTTGTATACCAACCCATTATGATTTTTTATCTATAAAAAGTGGATCTTCTGACCATATATATCATCTTCATTTTTAGTAAAATCAGTAAGCGCTATAAAGTAAATAATATGCTGTCTATTATAGTTTTTATTAGCAATTACAGATTTTGGAGTAGCTGTTTCCTCATCCCATTCCCAAACATTAATAGAGATATCTGGATTCATTTCCTCTATTTTATTAAAAACACGTGAACAGATTGGAGTGGGCATGGAGATGCTATCAAGGTTAACAATATTTAAGTATTGCTTATTGTCGTGGCCACTTTCAGTTATACGGGGTCTTGTTCGTTTCCACTTAGACAGAACACTCACTTGGCGCTGGTGTATCGTACCAGGCACTGCCACCACTTCACTTCGACGCTACAAGGGCAACCACTTAGTTTATAATAAGAACGTTACTAAAGCCAAACTTAAACGCTGCCTTTATTATTATTAGATCGCTCATATTTAAATACAAGATTATCGGCGGATAAAGTATTATCCGGGTTACACGCATTATGCAGTACATACGATTAGACTATAAATTAATTTTATGCATCTACTAATTCGACGATCACGCAATTCATGCAAATCCGAATCACGCCATTATCGTTACCCAGTTACGATCGGGTAACCCGTGATCGTACCCAACCCTAGCAATACCGATACAAGGGGTGTTGGTCATCAGCATGACACTTATATTCTTTTCTAGTAAATATTCGATCAAGATGATAGGTATGGCCATCTTTATTAGCAAAATAACAAGCTAATGCGCCTTTAAGACATTTTTCAGATAATATATTTGTTTCTGGATCTATAAGTAAATAATTATTAGGGTTAATGGTACACTTTGTATTGGCTAGTGTGGCAGAATAATATAACACAGGGCATGCTTAATTCGAACGTATAAAAGCCGGATCCACGTTGTGTTGGAGAAAATACAAAAATGTCCACAAAAGACTTAACAAAGCCGTTTTACTACGGGAGCAATAGTGAATCCATTGAAAACTTCGTTGACGACTATGAAGGATACGCCGCTATGAAGGACTGGGACGAAACTAAAATGAGACTTGTGGTAGGTTTGCATGTTGCAGAACCGTTGCGTGATTGGGTTAGGGATATTGTGGAAAATAACACTTCCTGGAAAGACGTAAAAGCCGCCATCCTAAAATCTGCAAAATCGAAGTATGACGTTGAGATGAAAATTGAGAGTTTGATGAACCTCAAACTAAGTGAAAATGAAAGTATCGTCTCCTATACCAACCGATTCGATGCTTGTGCAAAAAGGGTGAAAAATGAAGTTAGCAATCGTGAAGTAAAACATTGGTACCTCAGAGGCCTCCCGGCCAAGTACAGAGAAAAAGTAAAGCAACGTTACCCTGAGACCTATGAGGAAACAAAAGATTGGGCGATCAAGATCGAGAAGCATGAAAAAAGTGACGAATTCGACCTGAAAAAGGCCAACGTGATAGGAGAAGAATCGGCTTGCCAGATGGATCCCGATGTCGATGACTTGGCTAATGCCTTTTCTGAATTAAAGATTCGTCGAGTTAGTCAGGGCGGTCAAGGTGAAAAGGGCGTTGAAAAGATTGACAAGTTAGAATCTACCGTTAACGAACTTACCAAGCTTGTTAAGGACATAGCCAATAATAAAAATCAACCCAATCCCAACCAGCAAAATCGCCCCAGCCGAAATCAACCAAGAGACACCCAAGGGAATTGGCGACAAAGGCAAAACCCCATCCATCCAGCACCGAGTAGTCAATCTAATCAAACCAACACGCGTAGGTGTTACAATTGTGGCCAAGAAGGTCACATATCAAGAAATTGTCCAATTAGGGCCCCGCCCAACCCACCTATTAATCAAAATGTGGAAGCAAGAAGTTCCAATCCGGAAAGTGTTGACATACAAGGAGCCAGCGTCCGATATTTTGAGATAACCGAGGCTTCACCCGATGGCGGTGATGAGTATCTTAAAATTGAAATGGTTAAGGGTGAGCCGATATTTGATGTAAGGAACTACAATCTAAGGAAGCGTAAGCATCTTGAGGTTGAACCTGCTCCCGATTTACCTGATAAAAGGACCAGGAGTGATGAGAATACAACCAATAAGGAATCCCAGATAAAAGGAGCGACAATGTACATACCTCTATCTGAATTGACCCAAGAACTTGACATTTTGAAGAAGATCGCTGATCTTGAAATGACGGTAACCTTGGGTCAGCTTTTTAAATGGTCACCAAAAGCCCGTGTGGAAATACTAAGGGCCCTAACAAGGAAGAAAAGGGAAGCCGATGTGTCTTTGTTGGACACTAATGTTAGCATAGTAAGGGCTGTTCAAGTCAATTTCGATAGGCAAGTGGGCGACGTCCCAATGGGGACAATCAGAATAAACGACGAATTAATTGACGTGCCCATTGATCCCGGGTCCTGTTTGAACCTCATGCATATTAATTATGCTAATAAAAAGGGCCTTGTATGGAAATCAGCTAAGGGAAGGGGTAGAATGGCTGATAATAGGGTTAGTAACTTTGTTGGTTACAGACCTAATATTAAAGTGGATGTCGACAGGGTAATTGTTGTTCAAAATTTTTATGTGATGCAAACAGCCAGTTTCGATGTTCTGTTGGGAATGCCCTGGATAGCCGCTGCCAAATGTAACTTGAAATGGAAGGATAATCAGTTTTGGTGCTCGGTTAGTTCTGGGATGAAGAGGTGTCTTTTGTTGTCTCTGTTGCCCCTGAAAGGTGGGCCATTGAAGAGAATGATAATGATTTTAAGGAAGAAGTCGACGATGAAGATGATACTGACTTCATGATAATGAGAAGGGTTCAGGTTGATGAGCTAAATAATCTACGTGTCGAAATATTGAATAATGCCAAAAATGCGGCCGTGATAAAAGTCCATGAAATTGAACCAGTCAGTGATGAACAATTACCACGGTCCTATTGCGGACAAGTAGTATATTGGAACACTGTAAATAAGTCTGA